CTTTTCTAAGAAGTGGGTTCAATTTTAGATTACCCATATCTATAATTGAATCCACCATCTTAATTTCTTTTATTTTCTTTTGTTCTAGAATTTTGTTCTTCATTCTTGATTTTTTTATTTTGTTCTTGATTTTATTCTTTTTTTCCTTCTCATATTATTGATCATACTCATTCTTTTTCAAATCACTCTCACTTATACTTTGCACCTATTTACACACCATTTTCACTCTCTCAATCTCTTCACAATCACATTCACTCATCACTCCTATTTGTCACGCACACAAAATAAGACAAAATCACAACACAACAACACAACACCACAACACAACAACACAACACTACACTACACTGCACAACACATCACCACACATCACACCACAACACAACAACACCACCACAAATCCTCACCCTCACCCACCAACCAACAACACTCCCCCTCGCCCTACCTCTCCCCCCTCAACCACCACCACAACAAAATCCCCACTCCTCATCCTCAACCACGATCAAAGCCCCCACCCACCAACCAATCATACTCTACACACCCCCTCCCCCTCCATCACTACCATCACCACCATCAACACCCAATCCCCATTCCTCCCCCCACCACGACAAAACCCCTCACAAACCAATCACATAACGACCACCACTACACAACACCACAACCAACCCACCAACCAACCCACCAACCAATACCACCAACACTACGCACGCATACACCATCAACAACACTACGCACGCAAGTATAAATTTTGAGGTTTGTGTTAGGGTTAGAGTTAGGGTTTGTGTGTAACAGTTTGTATTAGTATGTATCAGTATGTACGATATCATCTAATTAAAAAAAAAAGCAAAGTATATATATTACCTGTGACGACAGAAAATGTCTCCTATATGCCTCCTGAGCCTCCTGAGGTAGAGTCGACATGAATTGTGTGAACTCCAATACGATCTGCTCCCGACGCCTCCGTTCTTCCTCTAGAGCCTGCTGATATGTTGTTTGCTGCGACAGGCGATCTTCAATCGCTTTTAATCGCTGCTCCATCGAGTCTTGATATGAACTGCTTCCTGGTGTTCCTTGTGGTGCTGCAGACTCGTAGGTGCTACTAGACTCGTGCGGCCTCTGCTCGGATCCTCTCCACCGATATCTGTTCTTCCTACTAGGTCCAATGACCGTCTCGATGATGGAGTCCTCATCCTCTCTACTTAGCCGGGCAGGAGTGTTAGAACAGACCTGAGACTGAGTCAATTGCTCCTCTACCTTGGCATGTAATTTTTCCTGCGATATATCAAAACAACCCGGGCAAGTCGACTTAATAATGATGCATTGATATGAAATTGAATATATAAATGAACTGCTACTTACAGCCAGATCCTTATTCTTTGCTTTCTTCTCTTCATTGGCGTAATTCGGGCTCCAGGAAGTCAGAATACGATCTGCAAAATGTCTGAGATCTCCCCTTCCCTAATTTATTCAAATATATCATTAACCAATAACACATAAATTATACTCAACGTAAAAGCTAATATATTATATACCTCAAGCTCTAATTGATGATAATGCTGGCTGAATGTCCTGGAGCCCCCGTGATGCTCGTAATTGCGAGGCGCGTTGCGATTCCTCCTTGCTATTTCAGCTTGAGCCTGCAAAACAATGTCAATTCGAAACAATATAGAAATTCAAACAATAAATTAAAAATATATACTTCAATAATACCTGAATTTCAGCCGTGTCCCAGTAACTGCAAAGTGCAAAAAAATCTACTCCATCCACACGCGTGTCAAGATGCCAGTATCGCTCCCAATCTTCTGTTATTTGGACAAAATATTTTTTCTTTACCTCAAACCGCCATCTCTTGAACGATACATTGATTTGCCCGAAGCAGTACGTCCAGGCACAAATATTATCGTCAAGAAAGAAAAATCGCTTCAACATATAAAGAAAAAGTAGATACAAATCAGTGTATTAAACATAATAATAAACTAATAACTAATAATGATGAAAATTAAAATAAATGACTCACACATATATATCTCCAACAAGCCACCAGCGCATCAATCCGCTGCGATTTCCACGTCAAAAATATGTTGAAGAAATCGTGTCTCCTGGCTAAAACGGCAAGGAAATTGTTGAAAGCATTGGCAAAGGCCCCAACAGGCACTCCGTTTTCCCATCGGATCACAGCCCTCCGATTAAGATCAGGGATGAGGCTCGATTCCTTAGTAGCATTGCGGCCGCGTCGAGGAGGTTTCTCGGTACCTGCGAAACAAAGAATCGAATGAAACAATGAATCAATATATATTTGCGAAAAAAATTTAAAATAATAACCGATAAACTATAAAAATTTATTCATACCTTTCAGTTCGAGGCATCTACGTTTTGCTTGTTCGTACCTTTGCAGCGCGATGGGGCGCATATCATGATAAGAATCCCAATCATCCCTCACATTGGCCGGACCGTGGGCTCGCTGATCCGGAATAGAATCTGGCGGTAGTGCCGCAGCTTCTAAAGCTACGCTATACGGCTCAAATCTCCTCTCCTCCAATATATCTGCATGCGGTGGTGGTGGTATCTCCGCATGCTGTGTAGGATCAGCCTGTATCTCCACGTCATGTGGAGCATCTCCGCATGATGTGTCCTGTGGCTGCGAGTCATGTGTAGCATCTCCTCCTCCTGTGTAGTAAATGTTAAAAATATATTAGGCTCATGTTAATAGTTTATAGAAATGTACAAATATAACAAATAAATAAAAATACCTGACGTAGAGGCATGTGCGTCGCCTCCAGAATGTCTACCAAAAATTCTCTCAAGCGCTTTCTTACGTAATCCTTTTGTCATCTATACTTTGAAAACATAATGAATATCCAACAAAAGTATATAATGCAAATAATTAATAAAATAGCACATGGCAACAGAATCGCGTGTACATGATGTCCAGTTAAACAGATAATACAAAGGCAATAATGTAATACATGACACACTGTGTTACATGATAACCAGTCAAACAGATGATGTTGAGGCTCTACTCTGCGATCGTGTACGGATAGCTTGCGACCGTGTGCGTGCCAACGAAAGGACTGTTCTTATAGTTTTATCGACTCCGCTGCGGACAGGTTTTTTTCCTTTACGCCTTGGCTCACATATAATCGCAGGTACATCAGGGCGCGCTAGTGCAATTTCATCGTCCAGATTATTATTTTGTGTCAATGAAAACTCCTCGGTTATTTCGTCGGCCAAGATAACCTCCTCATCGTGATCTTCGTCAGACACGACTTCATGAATGTAGGCTCTAGGTGGATTCTTAAGGATAACCCATTCGTCATTTTTCATTATATCTTTGACATAAAAGCACTGTTTGGCGTGAGTAGCTAACATGTATTTTTCAGACTGATATATTTCCTTGTTAAGATTAACGATTGTGTAACCGTAGTCATCCTTCGCCTTTTTCTGTTCACACCAACGAACCTTAAACATCACATGACTGACTTCCTTATTAATCCCATAGAAAATCTCCACGATGTCTTCTACCTGACCGTAGCAATAGATTTCCCCCTGTATCGGATTTAGATCTTTTGCACTAGCGTATGACAGTTGAGAGAAGGAGCAGAACACACCGCTGTTTTGCGTTTGTCGTCTCTCTTCGAGACCGACGATGTTAAACCTAAAGCCGTTGACACAGTAGCCTCCATAATGCTTAACCACATTAGAAGGACCTCTGGCATATAAACAAACTTTCTCAGACAGGTTAATCCCATTCGTAATCCGTTTGTCAACCTTAAGAAAAGAAGCAAATAGTTTACATATCTGTTGGCAGGCACATATATTTGATATACGAATCAGAAATGTAAAAAGATCTTACTTCACCCTTCAGCCATGCAGGGAATTGTCTAGAGTGTGTGTCCATAACTCTCTTATTTTTTGTTCTGCATTTAAGATTAGTCTGGACATGTCGGATGTGAAGCCTAGACAAGAAGCATTTATAACGGTTAAATAGAGATAATTATTGTGAGGTGATCTAATCTGATTCAAACAGTTAAATACTTACGCCGCGTATATGTTAAATGTAGTATCATTGCTCAGGATATATGTGTGGGCTTGATCTAGCTCCATTCTGGGGAATCTAGTGTCCTCCCCACGATCATTGTAGAATGTACCGTCAATTATTCGTTGGGGACGGTTCAGCCTTGTCTCTACGCCCCGCAAGTAACGAGAGATAAAATTCAAACTCTCGTTACTTATGTAGTTCTCTGCGATCGACCCTTCAGGATGTGCACGATTATGCATCAGTTGTTTCATGAAACCCAAATACCTACAAGCATATAGTTTCATGATTTGTGACAAAATTGACAAATATTAAATGAATATTATAATAATAAATACCTCTCCACGGGGTACATCCAGCGATATTGAACTGGTCCTGCGATGCGGGCTTCGTATGCTAAATGTATTGTCAGATGCACCATGACCGTGAAGAATGATGGTGGAAATAGTATTTCCATTTTACACAGTGTATTAGCAACACGTCCCTCTAATTCTTCAAACTCCCTAACATCAATCACCTTAGAGCATAGTTGCTTGAAGAAACCGCAGAATTCTATTACCACCATCGCGAGTTCCTTGTCAGCATGTCGCAACGCAACCGGGAGAAGTTGATGTAATAGAATATGATGATCATGTGTCTTGAGTCCCAAAATCTTTCTGTCCTCAATATGCACATTTGCTGAAATGTTTGAAGCATAACCATCCGGTGTCTTCACGGACTTTAGAAATAAACACATATTGTGGACCTCATCCTTCGACAGTGTGACACGGGAGGCTGGGAGTTCAAACTTTCCGTCGCCCTTATCTATAGCTTGTAGTTCCGGACGAATGTTCAATTCTGCTAGGTCTCGACGTGCCCTTAAGTCATCTTTCGATTTTTTCCCGTCCTGCAACAAAGTGTTCAAGAGATTCTCGCATATGTTCTTCTCGATGTGCATGACATCCAAGTTGTGACGTATTTTTAAACTTCTCCAATATGGCAGCTGATAAAATATGCTGAATTTTGACCATCCATGCGGAAGTTCGGTGCCTTTTGAGACATGCTCATGCGACCGGGGTACATTGCGAGGCTTATTTCCTTTTGATTTTCCCTTTCCCTTCCATTTTTGCTTCAATATTTTTCTCCTAACACCAAATGGATTTTCTTTGTTGAATCTTTTTTTTCCAAATATTTTTCTAGGTAAAGGATGTAGAAGCTCAAATATTTCTTCTCCGGTCAGCCTTGGTGGTGCCGGTCTACTTTCTGGATTGCCGTCAAACTTTCCTACTAACTTTCTAAACTTGTGCCCTGTAGGCAACCATCTTCTGTGTTGCCAATAACAAAACTTACGGCTGTACTTCAGGAACTTTCCCTCATAGTCTGACATGCAAATCGGACAAGCAATCTGACCCTTTGTCGACCATCCAGACAGGTTAGCGTATGCCGGGAAGTCATTAATTGTCCACATGACCATTGCCCGCATACAGAAAGACTCCTTACCATAAGCATCATAAGTGCTGACACCTTTTTCCCAGAGAAGCTTCAGGTCGTCAATTAATGGTTGGAGGAAAACATCGATGTCATTTCTAGGAGAATATCTTCCAGGGATCAAAAGTGACAGTATCATGTACGGTTGCTTCATGCACATCGACGGCGGCATGTTGTACGGTGTCAGCAACACTGGCCAGGTAGACCAAGCAGAGCTCATTAATCCAAACGGATTAAATCCGTCGCTAGCAAGCCCCAGCCTAATATTCCGAGACTCTTTACCGAAGTCGGGGTATATACGGTCAATGTGATTCCATGCCTCACCATCCGCAGGATGTCTTAGTTTCCCGTCCTCTTTGCGGTCGGTCGAGTGCCATCGCATATTCTCAGCCAGCTCGGCAGACATATAAAACCGCTGCAGCCTAGGAATAATTGGAAAATATCGGAGAACCTTCGCAGGGATTCTGTTCTGTTTATTAGATGCACCGCCTTCGGATGTGCTTACAACTTCTCCTTTCCAACGTGATACATAACATGTCGGACATTCCTCCAGAGCTTCATTACCCTTATTGTACAAGATGCAGTCGTTAGGACAGGCGTCTATCTTCTTGTAATCAAGCCCCAACGTATCAATAATCTTGTGAGCTTCGTAATAGGTCGCGGGGATGCTTTTCTCGCCGCCTGGAATGACTTTCCTCAGCAAATCTAATAACATCTCAAAATGTGTAACAGCCATCCCACTGAGTGTTTGGATATGAATAAGCCTCAGCATAAAAGAAAGCCTTGTGAACTCCTTGCACCCCTCGTATAACGGTGACTCGTTTTCTTCAACAAGTCTCATCAATCGATCTACATCTTGAGACATATCATTAGTGTTGACATCACTCACCGACAGCACTGCAAGAATATCTTCTAACATATCAGTCGTGTCAACTGTCGGATTGCTGACTTTAGTGAATTCTTCCTCTGATTGCATCACCGGGACGCCTTCACCGTGATGACTCCAAAATACATAAGAGCTATCAAATCCATTGATTGACAGATGAAAACTTACGTCACTCCTAGCGAGCATTTTACCGTTCCTGCAATTCTTACAAGGACAGAAAATCGACCCGCTTAGCGACCGTAGAGGGTTTGTGTCAGAGTAGGCTAAGAAAGCTTCTATCCCATCCTTGTACCGGGTGTCTAGATGTCTTCGATCACGTGGAATGCTCATGAACAATTTGTCAGGAACTGTCCGCATCTATAATTTAAAAATTAATGGAAGTGAGCATATCCCGACATATATCATTTTAATTTAGGGATGTAAACGTGTGTTCAGAGGACCGCATGTGTGACCGGCTGTCAGAGGAAGGCTTCTATCCCATTAGGTATGTAAACGTGACGTGTATATGTATTTACGTGTGTTCAAGTGTACTATCATTTCGTCAAAATTTGTAAGGAGAGAACCTAAATTACTATAGAAGGTCTTTAATAAGGTTAAGAATGTTGCGCGCAGCGAAAATTTCGGCAGCACCTCGACAGCACAACAAGAGAGTCAGGTCGCAATAGGAATTCCTGTTTCACAAAGGAAACAAGAACCTTAAGCAAAATATCTCAACGAAGTGGGATATCAGCTCTTCCTCTTATCAGTTCTAGGACTGACCTGTCGAGGGAACCTAAATATAAGTTATTACAAATCATAAAATAGCGAGACAAACTAATTGCTGAGGGGGTATAACTATATTTGTAAGGAGAGAACCCAAATTGCTAATCTTTTTTTTATGTTTAGAAGAGTAGAAAAAGTTCACTGAGGGGGTATATGCACATGGAAATACTACAAGGGGATCCATGCGCACAAATAGAAGTACATGGGTTTGTCTGCAACTTGCGATAGTACAAGGGATCATTCACAGTTAATCCTTTCAAATTTGAGTAGTAGAAACAAAGCATAAGACGGTACCAAATAAACACAACAGACAGATGAAAAGTTGTATAACTCTTCATGTTAACATCATTATTATATGGGTTTGATAGTCACGAGGTGGCGGCTCGTTTAGCAAAATGAGCTAATAAGAGACGGTGAATAAAGTCCGTACTTTTTGGTAATGACTTTTAAGGTCTGGCCTCACCACGTGACTATCTATTGGTAGCTTATTAAGAAAAATAACCGCCCACCTCATACACAAAATAAATTAAAAATTTTAAAATTCTAAGAAATTGCCAATTGGTGACTAGGAGCCTTGTTTAAATATATAGATAGATATAGGAAACCGAAATAGACAATCTCATTGCAAAGTTACATTCTAAAATAGATATAGGCTCATGTTTTAAATGTTTAGCAATTTTAAACATAAAGACAATATAAATGTCTCAGTGACCATGCATTAAATTCGGGCGCGGGTGCCCAAAAAATTTGGGCGCCCGCGCCCAAAAAATTTTGCCAGAATTTAATTTTAGCGACGGAATTTCCGTCGCTAAAAACTCTTTAGCGACGGAAATTCTGTCGCTAAAATTAATTTAGCGACGAAATAAAATTTCGTCGTAAAACATTTTAGCGACGAACAATTTCCGTCGCTAAAATGTGATAATCCGTCGCTATAATTATTTTAGCGACGGATAAATAGCGACGGAATATTCCGTCGCTATAAATTAACATATAGCGACGGAATTGTCCGTGGCTATTTTTCCGTAGGTAAAAGCTCGTTTTCTACTAGTGTACCCTAACAAAAGATTCATTTTGTTAGAAGTAGGAAGCAATAAAAGCTACCAACATCTCAACTGTTCTTTGCACCGTAGTTTGATAGTAACCTACTAAGATCACATCAAAAGCTGGTTTTACGGTAACCTACTACATATGAGGGGAAGGTGTTGGGAGCCCTTCCTCGTGGCCTGAACAACGTGGTTAGAAAAATTAAAGGATTTATCATCAATGGCTACAGATTCCACACTAAGCACCACGACAAGTTTCACAAGACTCAAAATTCTGGGGTGAACGTTGTCACCAGTGATGGTAAAACTTGGTTTGGGAAAATTAGAAATATCTATGAGTTAGACTATTTTAGTGAATTTAAGGTTATCTTATTTACGTGTGATTGGGTGGATGTAGTAGGGGGTCAAGGGATGAAGGAGGATGCAAATGGTTTTACTCTCGTAAACTTCTCTCATTTTATACATACAGGTATCACACTACTTGATGCCTGATGATCCATTTGTCCTCTCCTCTCAAGTGAAACAATTTTTTTTGTAGAAGAAGGATAAAGGATG